CAAAGTCGAACTAATGAGCCTACACTCAAAAGCAAAGTTGGACAAGCTAGGAAGAGGTGAGAGTTATGCTTTATCAGAAACACAACAGTATTTTGTTTTTATAAGTGAGAAATCTTCAAGAAGAAGAGTACAGTAACTGGCTGGTTTAACACATTTCTGCCTCCGGTTCACCTCTGAAAAAGAACAGTGCACAGCTACTTCTTGTAGCTTTCACTGCCATGCAGTGGATAAGACAGTCCCAAACAGTGCTAGTGTCTAGCATGTCTGGCAATGCTGACAGGCAGTGTTCTTATAGTACTGTCCCCTGCCAGGATGACAAAAACAGAGCTGCCAGGTAGAGCAGACTGGTTGTATTTGAGCTCCAGTTGCCCACTCGGTCACAACGTTTCAGTAATTTTCACTGTGGACGTTCACTGTGCCAATGTGTTTGACAAGTGAAGGTTTGAAAAGATAATTAAATACAATCACTGCCACCCAGAACAAGAGAGGCACAGATAGCACAGCTGTGGATGTTAGCTAGCTTTGTCAAGCAAGCAAAAACACTGCATAGTACATGATAAAGATCTCATACATACACTGCTCAAAAAAATAAAGGGAACACTAAAATAACATCCTAGATCTGAATGGATGAAATAATCTCATTAAATACTCCTTTCTTTACATAGTTGAATGTGCTGACAACAAAATCACACAAAAATTATCAATGGAAATCAAATTTATCAACCCATGGAGGTCTGGATTTGGAGTCACACTCAAAATCAAAGTGGAAAACCACACTACAGGCCGATCCAACTTTGATGTAATGTCCTTAAAACAAGTCAAAATGAGGCTCAGTAGTGTGTGTGGCCTCCACCTGCAGAACCACTCCTTTATCGGGGGTGTCTTGCTAATTGCCTATAATTTCCACCTGTTGTCTATTCCATTTGCACAACAGCATGTGAAATTGATTGTCAATCAGTGTTGCTTCCTAAGTGGACAGTTTGATTTCACAGGAGTGTGATTGACTTGGAGTTACATTGTGTTCTTTAAGTCTTCCCTTTATTTTTTTGAGCAGTGTATATCACAACAATATACTCTCTCCCCAACACTCAGTCAGTTTGGTTTTGAGCTGTTCATGAGCAATGCATACTGGTTTATGTAGGTTTTGCGGTGAAGGCTGATATGTCAATTACCCAAAAAGCCACCAAAGTGGCTACACATTTAATGGAAAACTTAAGCCACAAGAGCAGACTGGAGCGCAACACACTTACTTCAAGCTTCTGTAGCTTGCTTCTTGGACAATCATGCAGTCCATGAATACACATAAGTGTGAGGTAGGGTATCGCTACAGAAGAGTCCAGCATGCTCAGACATTCATCTAATCTCTCCTCATTAAATGCGGGCTGAAAATAATGTTCAGTAAAGAGCACAAACAGTGACTTTAGGTTTTCAGTTTTTAGTACACAGGCCAATCCTGCAGAGTCACTCTGCAGCAGATGCAGACTAGCTTAGCTAAGATCAGCAATAAAGATACGGGCCAGCTCTTACTGGACCATCAATCAACACAGTGTTGAAAGGAAAAAAGGAGAGGAGAATCTGATATAGCAATATTTACTAAAACTTAAAAAATTATTAACTGTGGTTTGAGTCTAGATCGTCTTGTTTATTTGTTTTATTACAATTTTGACAAGATTTAGCCCAAATTAGGCTACAAATTCTGACAAAAGCACATGGAGTTAGTTTAACTTCTGGATTATCTGCACTTAATCAGGTCAAATGCTCAAAATATCTTTCACCATGGGGTTGTCATCAGTGAGCCAAGCAGCAGCGATTGAAAGCATGCCAGAGCGCTACAGCCTAAGTGATCATGCTAATAGTCTGTGTGAACTATTTTTCTCAAGACAAGACAAGCAAAGAGCATTGATAAAAACAGCAAATCAATATTCACAATCACATTAATAAAATGTGGGAGGAGACTGAAGACAAAACACACATTAATCTCTTCCACTCTCTGCCTATCAGGCTCCATTCTGGATGAGAATGCACTGATTGACTAATACATATTCTATCCTTTTCTTTATGTTAAAGACAGTACCGTACCTTCTTAGTATATGGCTAACATGTTAGGAAACAGTCACCTATTTACACATCCAGCAGACACAGAGCATCATTAGCATTTAATTTAGCCGTCCTTTTTCTGGTCTTTAAAAGTCCTAGATAAAAACAGATATTTGAGGTTAAAGGGTGAAAAATGCTTAAAGTGGCTATAACCAATAATTTTACATAAACAATGGATCACATGACTACTCGTATGTGCAAGGAGTTGCTTGTAGGGACGAACTCTCAGAGAAGCATCAACTGACTGCACTTTCCCTCAGCACTACATAGCTTTATCACAGCTGTAAGCTCATTGTTTTTGTTTACAGGCCCACAACTTTAATATTTCAAATCATTCTCGGGGCTCTCAAAGACAGTTTTCTGGTGCACCAATTTCCCAGAGCCCAAAGTGAAGTCTTCTAGTTGCTTCTTTAATCCAACCAACAGTCCAAAACCCAAAGACTACGATCAATTGTTACATTTATGATGTTGGAAGCAGCAAATGTTTAAGATTCTTGCTTGAAAAACTACTGAAATAATTAACATTAAAAATATTTGGCAAATAATTATCTTTCAATCAACTAATCGATTAATGGACTAATTGCTGCAACTCGACTGTACACTACCTGCTCAGCATCAAACAGACACAGTTGGCACAGGAGTTGGAGATCAAAACCTGAGCTAAAAGATGACAAGTCATCAGGTGGTCAGAAACATAGCTTCGAGGTCAGATCTGTTAATGCAGGTTCAAACATTTGCTGGTAAGGTTGTACAAAACGTAGCATGGACAAAACAATTTTTGTTGTTAGTTTGTTAATATCAGTGCATCACAAAAGTACAAGTGAAGAGGCACAGAAAAATATATATTTAAAAAACAATTGCTACTCCACAGAACATGTCTTTTCTCTGATCTTTTTAACAGTAAAAGCTTGACCTGCTCAGGCCTCAGTAAAAAGAAAATCTGAGAACGGAGGGTCATCCTTTGAATGACATGCTCACAACTCCTAGACATACAAACATAACAAGCCATAAAGTTTGAGAACCACTGTCCTATACAATATACAATGAAGGATAACTAAACACTAAGCTTACTAATATTTGTGTCTGGTACACCCACACACACGTGTCCTTTTCCCCTCACAGCTACTCAGCTATTAGTAACACAATCTCCAATTAACGTACAACTGAGATTGAAAGTGTCGTGTTCTGCCGCTCATAAAGGCTAAACTACTTAGATGAAAATGCTGTTCCCTTCCCTGCAGCGAGAGCAACCATGCAGTTAAATGTTGTGATTAGCACTTCAGCTACAGTCCAAATGAGATGGAGAGCTATATGCTCTGCACTAAAGAGGAAAAACAATCCTGATTTTGGAGCTTTTGCACAAACAAAGAACTGAAATGAACTGTTGCACAGTATGTGAGGACACTGCTGCGACATTACACTCTTAAGGATCAATAAGTCTGTTTGTGGTTATAATTATCACAGTACAGAGATTTTCCCACCACGAGTGCATCTGAGCAAACGCCATGCTGTGAAAATTACTGCCAAGTTACCATGCCGACGGTCAGTCCGCCACTTGTGTGGAACGTGAGCAGAAGGAGAGCTGCCATTGGCTGAATACTGGGGGACAGGATGGAGGAGCCTGCTGCTGACAAGATGGCCATGCTGCAAAGGGCAAAAGTGACGGGTACCAAAGACAACAACACAGAGCTTTGTCTCTTTAGTCAAGGCATGTTGTGTTTCTGCTCTCCTCACTTTTGCATTTCAGACACTGTACATACTGTATGTGGGCACAAATAAATAAAGGCTCATGTGCATGAGACGATTACTGAATTGGCCTATGGGACAAATGGGTCTAAATGACTACAAGACCCACAAAACAACAGTAAAGCATCTTTTTCAGTCTGAGTGTCTTGCTTCTATGTTGGTCTGGGGTCGGGGCCTTTTTACGTGTCTGTGCCATCCATGTTCATATGTATTAATTTAAGAGTGCCTCTTGGTATGTGGTGCACTTTGTTGTATCCAAATGCTTAATTCTGACAATAGTTTTTTGGGCACAGGAGAAGTACATTTAAAGACCCTAAGTCAGTATTAGTTGTCAAAATAAATTGTGTGTTTTTGTGCCAAGGTTGGAAGATCTGACAGAATATCCAACCCAACTCAGCCCTATACCATTCATGTCTGACTTTGGGTTGTGTTATATTAAGAAATAGGCTTCTAGGCTGATGTGGAAGAAAAATGTTTGAAAATGTAATCAGCATTGAGCTAACACGATACAGCCTCGTGGAAATTGGATAAAGCTTTGATGCCATTAGAGTAATTCAGTCGCAACATTTGAAAGCCTTACAAAAACAGATGTGCCTCTGTTATCTGTCAGCTGGGACGTGCGTTCCTGAAAAACAGAAATGCTGCAAGGTCAAACAGCAGCGCCAGGCAACCTGTCACGACTTTGCTGTCTACAAACATGGATGTCCCTTACTTTGGCTCTAAGACACAATGAGCTGTTTCTCTATGCAAAGCCAGGGAAGCAGTCGGATACCTTCCTATCCACCACGAAAAGTACGATAAATAGGCCGTTATGACGCTGACGCCGGTGGACAACATGTAGCCTATGTGACGCCCAAAGGCCGTGGGGAGTTACACACTCAAACATGGGATTTCAAGACGCGCAAACATCTGCCGGAGCGCACTGCGCAGCATCCCTCCATCAGCTGCACCAAAATAAACAGACACAGCTGGAAATTGCCCGAGCCTTGCGGAATACGCACCGCTTCAAATAGGCTAAACACCGAGCTCCACACATTTCCCGCACGGTTACTCCATTCATGTGTTATTCCTAGTCCTTTAGCCACACGCACTCTACTCCACAGGCGCCGCGGCCAATGGCACTGATGATTTCAATGACACGCCCAGGCCTCACTTACCTGTGCCCCCTTTTCCCGGAGCGCTGTTAGTCCTTTCGCGGTTCCATCGCCCCGGTTTTCATTGTTGCCCTGCGGTTCTTCGCCAAGAGCTCCGCTGGATGGCGCGGTGATCCTGGCTCACACACCCGGGGACGAGGGGAGGACAGGAGAGGAGAGGGAGGGGGGGCTGGGCCAGGGGGATGCAGGAGGTGCGCTGGATGGCTACCGTGTGAAGAGCGACACAAGGGTATATGGATGGAAGCATCTGCGTCACGTTACGTCGGATTTGTTTTTAAAGGGAAACCACTCAGTTTGTTGATCAAGGCTCTGTGGCCTACACTGTATAGCTCAGTGCTACAGTGCTCTGCCTCTGTTCTCCCCACAGAGAAAACTGGGTGACAGAGACAAGTGACTGTTGTTATTGTAGGGATGAAGGTGGTGGGTCAAAACTAAACAGGGGCACTTTTTTAAAGGTGGACTAAACAGCAAACATGGTAAACTGTATAATAAGGGTACAAAACATATAGTTATGACTAAAGCATGACATTGGGATTTAAATCCTGAGTTAATATATGTAAAATGAATTCCTATTGCTCACCATAGTCAAATGATATCACTATGACTGTGTGTAGGCTAATAGGTTAGGATATGTATTCACAACGACAATACTAATATTCTGATGCTAACCCGGTATATCAATGACCATGTTTACCTTAGCTTAATTTGCTTATTAGCTCTAAACACAAATTCAGTTGAGGCAGATGTGATTATCATTAGTTTTGTGGGAATTTGGTCATAAACCAGACTGGACAAATCAAAAATATGAATTTTGGTGAAAAGTCAAAAGGATCACCAAACTGATTACGGTTAGGAGGGCGGTAATGTCTGCACAAAATGTCATATCAATCAATGGAATAGTTGTTGAGGGAGGGGAGGAAAGGTCAAGGGATCATCAAAGTCATTACTCTTTGGGAACCATGAATGTCTGTATGATTATATGATGAGATGTTGAGCTATTTCAGGATGGACCAAAGTGGTGAACCTGCAGGCTGACCAAGAGACAGACAGATCGACCAACATTGCTATCCCTAGAGACATAAAGCTAGCTAAAAAACAGTGCTGCCTTTACTTGTAGATAGTGTATCCACATGTATTGTGTAGCATAAAGCAGGAGTCACAGAACACATGACTTATTCGGTTATAGCCACACTTTATTCTGGTCACAGAAGCTGAAATTTGTAGGGTTTAATATGGAGTTGGTCCACCCTTTTTTCAGCTATAACTGCTTCAACTCTTCTTGGAAGGCTTTCCACAAGGTTTAGGAGTGTGTTCATGGGAATTTTTGACCATTCTTCTAGAAGAGCATTTGTGAGGTCAGGCACAGATGTTGGACGAGAACGCTTGGCTCGCAGTCGCCGCTCTAATTCATCCCAAAGGTGTTCTGTCAGGTTGAGGTCAGGACTCTGTCCAGGTCAGTCAAGTTCTCCACACCAAACTCGCTCATCCATGTCTTTATAGACCTTGCTTTGTGCACTGGTGCGCAGACATGTTTGAACAGGAAGGGGCCATCCCCAAACTGTTTCCAGTTGGGAGCATGAAATTGTACAAAATGTCTTGGTGTGCTGAAGCATTAACAGTTCCTTTCACTGGAACTAAGGGGCCAAGCCCAACCCCTGAAAACAACCCCACACCATAATCCCCCCTCCATCAAACTTTACACTTGGCACAATGCAGTCAGGCAAGTACCGTTCTCCTGGCAACCGCCAAACCCTGACTTGTCCATCAGATTGCCAGACAGAGAAGCGTGATTTGGTTGTTGCTAAGATTTCTTTTTGAAATGCGCCATGTAAATGAAGTTGTCATTATAACATGAATTTCTGATTATACATGAAAACAGAAAGACAAAGATGTGTAATGTAACAGCCTCTTTTAATTCACTTCAGCAGTGCAGAAAGTGAAATTTTTCTGTAAATGAACTTCTTAACTGTTTGGTAGCAGCTCAAAATTATAAAAAAAATATCTATGGCCATTTGAATCAAGGAAAAGTTTTTTGTTATTGGTGGCCAAAGGAAATAAGACATCCAATAAATAAATCTCCCATTACTTTTAATTACGTGGGACCATTAAGAGGTTAACCTGACTTGACCTGCATAGCTACAGATCTCATTAACAAAACATTTACAGTACAGTTGACCATCCTGGAAACAGCCTGCTCAGTAGTTCAGAAAATCTAACAATAAAAACAATTATGTAAAACATTTGAAAAAGTTGCTGAGAACAGTACATTTACTTTGTCACTGTGTGTGCTACATACTGTATGTCCTCTTCTGTGTTTGTGGCCTGCTCTTTTTCCAGGTCTCTGTGGTGGAGAGGCGGTGTGGCTCAGACTCCACACCTGAAGCTGCTCACTTGTCCATTCTCTTCACTTATGTTTTACATTCTACATTTTGCTTCCATTTTCTTCCTGTTAAAAGGGTTTTTTTCAGGGGGATTTTCCCACAGAGGATGTCGGATGTTGTATACATTGTAAAGCCCCTTGAGGCAAATTGTGATACTGGACTGTATGAAATTGACTTGACTTGACTACCTCAGCCTGGGTATGTTCTTTTTCTTCTCAATGCTGTGGTCTAGTGGAAATATTAAGGACGCACTCTGTCATAGACAGTACATTAGTAACATTTGTGTAAACAAGTAATAAAAAAATGAATGGATTGATGGACTGTAATGCTAAATGTTCACCTGCAGAGGTCACAACATCTTTACTTTCTCCAAATGATCTGCATCATGTCCATTTTATCAACTTTGAGCTAATCAGTTAAATGATTGTACTTGTATGAAATGTATGGGGTTGATTGTTCTTATGTAGTTTGTATGATGCTTTGGCAATATTGTTGTTACACATTCATGCCAATAAAGCTAATTTGAATTTAAATTATTGTATGCCAATAGCACTTATCTCTTTGCAAATGTATGGAAAGAGTTTTAAGTAAGCTTTTAACATCAGCTGTTGGTCATTTTATATATTAAAAATGTGCAAATTTAACCTTTGTTAACATTGTAGAAAGACATGTATGCTAGAATCTCATTTACTGATTTTGGTTCAGCTTTTAATTCTAATTAAAAAGAGATTTTCTGTAAGTAAAAGGTGGGCTCAGAGACAATCTAAACACAGGTGCACCACAAGTTACTACTTTGATCCCCTTTGTTGTTTTCTAGCAACACCAGACACGCTGATAAACTGACACCTCTGACAAACACTAGATCCATTGGAGAAAGTGTCAGTAGTTTTAAAGATCTTGGAAAAGTGATTTATGGCCACCTTAACTGCACAAAGAATGAATGACAGATTTTTACTTGGGAATTTAAATTATTTTAATGTTAGTAAACAAACTCTGGAAATGGAGCAGAAGAATCTGGAGCAAAAGATTTTATTCTTCATTATGGTCACATGGTATGGGAAATCTGAATGTCAGGAATAAACAGAAATTGAATAGTAAATATAGCTAGTAAAATTACAGCGACGCTCCAGATGAAATCAAGTGAGAAACATAATTAAATATAAGAAATAAAGCTTTCCAGATCCTTCCCACTCTTTGCACTCGCACTTTTACTCAGCTTTTACCCTCAGGGAGGCGCTATAGCCAAGTAAGAGCTACTGAAAATGTGTGTACAGCAAGTATTTCTTGCCAAATGCAATTACAAAGTTGAATGCAAAAATCTATCAATTTGTTATGATTGTTTGTTTTTTATTTTTACTGTATTTGTGCATTTTACATCATGCTGTTTGTCCTGTATTGTTTTTATGCCACAAAGTGAAGCCAAAAGCCACAATGTAGTAGTTCAGGTGGCAGCATACGGCTTCATGTTACACTTTGTATTCCTGAGTGGTATTCAATTAACGCAAGATGAAATTAGAAAGTATACAAATAAATTGGATTTCCTTGACTGAATTATAATTGACCACACAAACAACAATGGAAAAACGTATTTCAAGCAAAACGGTAAGATGATTATTATATAAAGGCATAAATAAGATTCTAAATGTATAAAGATATTAAGACAGGAAAATGCAGCTCCTGAATGTCTTTCTGAAATAGCCTTTTAAAAATATCCTTTTTTCCATTTACTTTTTCTCCTGCTGAGGCATATTGGTTTTATGATTACACTGTCATAGTTGTCATTCACACTGTTTCACTGTTTGGCAAATCAGGAAACAGTGACTGAAAGGAGAAAGTACAAATTTCAAACATCATACATACAACTCATTAAAAGGGGCATTATGTAGTTTTTCCAATGAAGTCACTTATCAATAAATCCCTTTTTTACTGCATATTTGTCAAAGGGCTGTAACCTCACATAGAAATGAACTGCACGCCTGTTTTCTCTGTTGCTTGGAACAGCCACTATGCTGCTTCTTATGTGAAGGAATCAGGTTAGGTTCTCTGCATGTGCGCTCCCGAGCCTTTTGCCTACTGCAACGACAACACTACAGCTACCAAAATGGAGTCCGCTAATACCTCAAAACAACTCCAGCACAATAAAGTTATATGTGCTGAAGCCCATCAGGCCAAATGAGAAAAAACACTATTGTTTAGCTTTCCACATTTCTTCACCAGCTAACGCATTACTATCCTGTGTACCAATATTATTATGTCAAAGTGTAGATTTTAGCCTGCAAGAAAGGATTTAATGACACAAAGCAAATGTGGAGCGATTTGTTTACACTATTCTATAGTGATGCAAGGCAGGAGCAGCCAGATAACATTACCATGGATCTGAAATCCAAAAAAATTAACTGTAAATATTTTACACTGTTTAATCCAGTAGGTGGCGGTAATGCCAACCGCTATAAAACGACAAAGAAGAATCAGGCCCCAATCAGACAGAAAGCGCTTTGCAGGTTCAAAAACGCGAGGCGCACAGCAATGCCTTTTTTGGTTGAATTTAGAAAAGAGCAAAGCGCTGTGGTTTTTTAATGTTGCTTAATGTTTAATGTCAGCTGTGCTGTCAGTCTAATCAAAGATTACAGCGCCAGCAATCTTTGGTTTGCTGCTAAGTAATAACAGTCATATTAGCAGAAACTTGATCACAACTCACAGGTCTGTGTCTTTTGTTGCAAAAAACATCTGCTTTTAAAAAACATAGACAAATGGAGGGCGCCTGCTCTGGCACTGTTTTGAGTGTGTGAGGTGTACAAACATGCAGGAGGCAGGGAAAGGGAGATCTGTGTGGGCACATTAGACCTTCAGAAAGAGGACACACCGCTGGTAGTAGCCTACCAGTTGGGGGGGGGGGTTTCGTTATGATCCAATACATTTAGCAGTGCTGACATTGCTGAGCCTCTGGTGAAAGATTAACAAATTAC